TTGTCTTTGTATCTTAACCATGGACGTCCTACATTCCTGTAGCCCTGATCTAACTGGCTGTTCATTAGGATCTTGGGTATCCTGTCATTAGACATTCTCAAGACATGACCAGTCCACCGTAACTGAGACTGTATGAGAAAAGTCTCGATTCCTCCAATATTACACCTGTTAAACAGGTCTACGTTAGATGTCATATCTTGAAGCTTAATTCCACAAATTGCACGCAGACAGCTTTTATGGAAAACATCTAGCTGGCGTATATGGTATCTGCATGGAGTCCATACATAAGGATGGCAAGTACAACAGCTCTGTAAACCTGAATTTTCTTATCCAGTCGAATACCCCGCTCATTCCACAAGCGATGGCGAAGTTTGCCGAAAGCACTGGTAGCCTTAGCAATCCGATGCATATATATATATATATATATATTTTTAATATATATGATTTAATAGTATATATATATATATATATATATATATATATATATATATATATATATATATATATATATATATACGCAGTTATTCAGCCAAGACCTGTTCTTTCTTATTTTGTTCTTTGTAACCTGTTGAAGGATCATCTCTGGTCAAAGTCAACAAAAATCCTCCAGCATTGATAGACACAACCTGCCCTGATCTATTTTCTCCATCGCTGCAATATCTTGATGAAATTACTCACCTAATGCGTCTGTCTTGAGATGGTGAGATTTTATTGATTTTTTAGAAGCATATGCATCTGGATTTTTAATGAAGTTAGCAATGACAGTTCTGCTACGCCCAATTTCATTTGCAATGGCTCGTTGCGAAAGACAACGTCTTTGAAGTTCAACAACCCTGCCCTGTTCGAACTTTGTTAACATTTTACCCTTAGCCATTTTAAAATCTGAAATCTAATACGAGAAATGAGCTACGTAGATGTCTACACATTTTTTTCAATATTGTTTAAATTAATCAATTAAAAGCTTAAAATTTTCACTTCTTTTGTAATTAAATGTAAATGTTTTGCAAATATATTTTGATTAAAGTAACAGTATTTTATAGTTTTTTAACCCTTTTGTCTAGGTTTTGACCAGGGGTGTATGATATTGACAATATTTCTCAAAATAAAATCGTAGAAACCTCTCAATTCGATTTTAAACCAACAAATATTGGTCTGCTTATAGAGAAATACTATTTTTGCAATAACAATTAAACCCCAAGACTTTAAAAATAACACGATTGAATATACCAAGACCAACAAGTATTTTCATCAAATTATTTAATAAACTAACAGCAGAAAATAAAACCTTCGTGAACATAAATATTGTAAACATTTTCTCATTCTTGATTGTCTGTCATGTTCAATGTTATTTAAGTCCTTTTTGATAATCCAGCAGTATCATGTACAATGGAATAGGTGCATTCAATTGGGATGTCTTTGGTTGAACTTTTTTTTCCAACTGCGAAAACAAATTGTTCTCAATCTGCTTGGTTTCCTTCCGTAATGAAGGGATAAAAGTGTATTAAAAGTCTATTACTGATAAAGTTTATCAGTTAATTTGAATTTTGGCGATAAATTGGAAAAATTCGGTACTTCTATTTTTAAATTTTTGTCTCAAAAATATTTTTTCTTATAAAAAATAGTTTCTTTCAGTTGGCTGACATAAATTGCTCGGCGTACCTGAAAATTGATTGGTTTATACTATCATTATTAACTAATTTTTGCGATCAGCCAAGATCGTATATTGATGTTTTTTTTTCCAAAAATGAAAGATTTTCACTACAGCAAAAATGGTAGTTAATCATGATAAATTGTGGTCATTTTCGGAATCAGTACCATCAAATTGGCTAAAAACGTGTTTTGTTTCTTGATACCAAAAATTGTGTTGATCAATATTATGTTAAAGTTGTTAAGCTCAAATATTTAACAGGTCGATCATTTCTACGGATATTTCATTGTCGTAGAACTCGGCATGAGCTTATTCAATCATTAACATAAGAATTAAGATCCATCAGAAATTTCAAATAAGAAAACTGTGAAATATTCACAAGTCTTTCTAATTTTCTGTGATTCCTATTTCAATTTACGTTAGAAAGCAAAGGATCGCTTCTCGGTCTTTTGCGGCCTTTTGATGCTTGCCCGGGACATGCCGGGTAGGTTTCAAGGCGATCATACACATGGAATACCTCTTCAACAGGCTAGGACCAGCTAAGATCAGCGCGGACCAGCTAAGACCAGCGCGGACTAGGTATGACTAACTTAGACCAGCTCTGACGACCTTGGACAAGCTATGGCTAGCTAAGACCAACTTAGACCAGCGGCCCGAATGAAAACACTTGGGTCCCTACGTTAAAAAAGACCTTGTGTCACAACCTGACTCAGTAGTGGGTGGAATCAAGTAAATATCCGTTAGAAAGCAAAGACAAAAGATGCAGAAAGAAATTCTAGGTGGAAACAAATGGAGTATCGTAGATCTTTGCAGGAAATAATAATTCCACAGTGAAAGTTCTCCACACGCATAAAAAAAACTAAGCAAAGTATTAAGAAACGGGAAAAATTTCTTTAGAAACAAAGAAAGGAATGCTGAATTGCTACCAATCCTTCTGTATGATGATTTTCTAAGCGTAGCTTAGATGTGGCTCAAGGCCGAAAATATGGGGCACCCATTGAGGATCGAACTCTCTACTCAGCCGGAATTGTCCAAGTGAGACAAGCTTGCTAGCCATTACACCACGTCAAGGTGCCAATGTTCTCTTATATGGATGTGATAGGGAATTTCTACGGATATTTTATTGTCTTAGAACTGGCCATGAACTCATTAACTAAAGAATTAAAAAGATTCATAAGAAATTTCAAAAGAGAAAACTCTTGAACTATCGATGTGTGCTATATCCATTGTCAGTAATGTCAAGCCAAAGTCCATATTAAAATTGAAAAAAAAAGATTAAATGGTAAGCATAAACTAATGGGTTCATTTTGATTTGTTTAGGTTCAGATATTATGCTCGTCATTTCCGCTGAAAATAGATTATGCTTAAAAAAAATCGAGCAAAGTCCGATAATTATTTTCTCGTATAATTTTTGTTAATGCACATCATCTCTACCTCTCACGTTTCCATACAAAAGACACGTACGCAAAGAAAAAAAAATTACAGCTTAATGTAGCCTAGCCCAGGGCACCTAGTGAGGAGCGATCACATTACATAAAAATTAGCTTAGTGATACTACCTAGCAAATCATCCCATAAACCCTAGTGGTAGCCCAATTATTTCGCAGGATACAAGGCCAGGCATGCATGGTATCAGTGAAGAAAATTCTGCTTGGCATTTCTCGTTCACCATTAACTCATGACGAAGAGTTTTATTTGAGTTTATTGAGTTTTTTTATTTAATCTCACTCAAGGCTATATATATATATATATATATATATATATATATATATATATAATGGAACCAATCCCTCTTTTATACAAGTTTCATTAAAGACGACTGACAAAGAAAATTAAATAAAATCTTAATCGCAGGACCTTTAATATATATATATATATATATATTATATTATATTTAATATATATATATGTGTATGTGTGTATGTGTGTGTTCAAAATAGGTCAACACTCTCTGCCTTTCCCCCCACACTCTAAAGCAGATAGCAATATCCCTTGTTTTTAAACCGGAATATTTTTCCTTTTCATTTGTGATTTGTTTGTAGGTCTTGAAGATTGAGAACTGCTGTTTTTAGAGCTCTCATGAAATAAAAATGTGATTCTAACTGTTTGATATGCTTTAACTAATAATTACACACACACACACACACACACACACACACACACATATATATATATATATATATATATATATATATATATAATCACGAATACACATTACCATCTGATACCCTTATTAGGCATACAAGAATCTTCAAAAACTTACATACATACAGAATTACTACGGTTTTAATGCTCGTGATATGTGACTGACCAATGAGAACTAACTCAAACATAATTGAAAATACAAATTTTTTTTTTGTCTGTTTTCTCTCAGTCCCTGACAAAGCTTTAATGAAAGTGAAACATGTTAGATTGATATACATTTCTTATTTGTTCTTTAATTTTATCATCCTGTCGGGTTACGCTCCATATTTGATCTCCATTTGATCCTTAACTCATTTTGTTTTTTTATATATATATATATATATATATATATATATATATATATATATATATATATATATATAAAAAAAACAATAAAAAAAATATTAAAAATTAATATATATATATATATATATATATATATATATATATTAAATGTAATGGATTAAATCCGACAAATATTTTAATATTTAAAAAAAAAATATGCGTTCTCTGTTACGTTTCGGTACAGAAAAGCTCGTTTAATGGGTGTGTTTATAAGCAGTAACTTTACCTTTACTAAATCGGGTGTCCTCTCTGGTTGAATGGTTAGCAGCACATCAGGCCAAATGATGGTTTCTGTAATGGATAGAGGTTTCTATCGGAGGATCCATATTTTCTACAACATTTCTCGGATAGTCAGGCCGTTAAATATAATTAGTACTGTTTAATTGAAATAAAGCATTTCCTCAAATAAGTTTTATCCATAGAAATAACGTATAAACAGATATTATATATATTTCGTATTTCTGGTCAGCACCCCCCCTCTATTATACAAGCCCATTAAAAACAATTGACAAGGAGCTTCCCTTAAGGTTTTGTTATTTATTTTTTTCAGGTTATAATTTCCTTCTTTTCTAGGCGTAAATTACGTAGGAATTGTTCAAATGTTTTGTATGCCCGAGGGCTTTCGGCTATGCTTTTAGTCATTATCAAGGATTATTTTATTTCACTAATTAACCCGTAATTGGGGAGTAGAAGAGGTTGATTCATATCTTTCCTGATGAGTATTTGCGCGTAAGGGAATATAACGAACCCAATGGGAATTGGAACTCGGCTCTACGATTAAGAATTCCTAGCCATTATTTATTACACCACCCTCACTTCCAAGTTTGCCGCGCCTGGTATTCCCAGACGGTCTTCTATATTCGTACTGGACAAGCTCGAAATGCTTAACTTCGATGATCGTACGTGAACCGGTGTTTCAACGTGATGTGGCCGTAAACCTAGGCTATACTTTGATGGAAAATTAGAGATTAATAGTTCCAGCACTCAACATAAATTAGTAAACAAACGAATGAACTACTTGGTAAATGGCTTCCCTCTGTCTTTTTTTACAAATATTTTCATGGCAACTCTTTTCATGAGCTTTTTTCTTTGACTATATAAATTTAAGTGTGTTACTAGATTGGCAATTAGGTCTCATCATTTTTCTGTTGAACTAGCTAGGTGCAACTGTCACTTCTACTCTTACAGTTTCTTTTCTTGCGTTTCTTACTTTTGGAACTCCCTTCAGATTTCTTGTTTCCCTGATAACTACAATCTTCTAAACTTTAAATGCAAAATCAATTGCCATTTACTGTCTTACTGAAATCTGTTCTTTTTTTTTTCTTTTCTCACCATAGTCTTCCCATTCTCTTTCACGTCTGTAACACCTTACGTTCTAGTGGCATTATCAGCTTGTTTGGTGTGAAACGATTTAAAAAAATGTAAATATATAAACATTAAGTTTATACTATAAAACCATATTAAAAATATCTTTTCTTATTCGTATTCTTCTGCTTCTTGTTCTTCTCCCCCTCCCTCTTCTTATCTTCTGCTTCTTTTTTTCCTCCTCCTTCAAATGTTTCTTCTTCTTCTCCTCCTCCTCCTTCTTCTTCTTCTTCTTTTCCTTGCCTCGCCTCCTCCTTCTCCTCCTCCCCCTCCTGCTCCTTCTTCTTCTTCTTCTTCTTCTTCTTCTTCTTCTTCTTCTTCTTTTATCCCCTCCTCCACCATATTAAAAATATCTTTTTCTTATTCTTCTGCTTCTTCTTGTTCTTCTCCCCCTTCCCTCTTCTTATCTTCTTCTCCTCCTCCTCCTTCTTCTTCTTCTTCTTCTTCTTCTTCTTCTTTTCCTTGCCTCGCCTCCTCCTCCTCCTTCTTCTTCTTTTGCTTCTGCTTCTTCTTTTTCTCCTCCTCCTCCTTCTTCTTCTTCTTCTTGCCTAGCCTCCTCCTCCTCCTCCTTCTTCTTCTTCTTCTCATCCTCCCCTCCTCCACATCCTCCTTCTTCTTCTTCTTCTTTCGCCCTTAACCCCGGAAGGTGTCGTTGGGGACCCCGACGCGCTGATTTGTCCATCATTCTCCCCCATCTGTCGCGGTCGTGTGCCAGAGCCTGGTTTCTTGGTATGTTCATCATGTAGCGTGTATTGGGCATTTGAATCCTCCAACTAAAGTGGCTCGCCGTGGTGGCCGTTGTAGTTCATCTGAGGAATCCTTCCCTCCAGGCCGGTGACCTGCGTTGAGGAGAGCTTTCGTCCACTGGTACCGTGTTGACACCAGCCACCTCAAGTGAGTTAAGCCCGCCAGCTGAAACGTTTTACAGGGTTAAGGCAATTTGGATCAATCAGGTAAGAGACTTAGGAAATGCGTGAGGACCGGTCCACCCGAAGGTGCAGTGTGCTAGACATCAAAGGTACTATCTCTATCCTGTGCCTATTATACCTAGTAAAAATATATATAAAAATAAAAAGTAAATAAAAAATCGTAAGTTATATGTCATCCTTACATTTCAATTTACATCCACAGCATGTATCAAATCAAAGCACGGTACGCTGATAATAGAAAAATAAAAATAATTCATAGAACGAATATATCAGAAACCTCTTCCACGACGAAAGAGTAAAATCTGCTATAAACAAATATATATATATATATATATATATATATATATATATATATATATATATTATTGAAGGACCAGAAGTATTAACCCATTAACTGCCAAATTTTTTTAATGCGCATTTTTGGCCCAGACAGGTGTCTTAGGAGTTTATTTATTCCTTATGTTTAATTTCAGTAGTTACCATTGTCGTTTTTATAGAAACTACAACATCAAATATATATGTGTATAAAACATCAAAAAATAATATTGATTAAAAATAATAAAAAAATACTTTTCAAAATATTCATTATTTTTCTACTCTTGAAATATAAAATCACGACAGAAAGTGTCTTCTTACGGCTAATAATATAAAATTTTAAAGGCTAAGTGTTGTAAAATATACCTCTGCAAATGCAATGTATGTAAGAAATTCAATGTAAATACAAGAAATAACGTAGTGAGTTTAATTTTAACAGATCCCCAAATGGGGCACATGGTAGGTAATGGATTAAAGTCCGAGGAGAAAAGAATAAATACTTTGAAATCAAACTACCTCTACCTTGCGATTATCTTAGAGAAAAAAGAAGGCTGACGAGTAACACCTACACAAATCGAGTTCCTAAGGCAGCTGAATAACGTTCTGCTTCGTCTTTCGGTAACTCCTACAGCTGGGCAGTTAGCCAAACCTATTGATGTATCATTTTCATTGAACTGTATCGGCAACGTTGAGCGGAGGAACTTGACGTCTGTTCAGTTCAAGATTATCATACAATCTCATATGTAGTGTTCTGTGCTACACTATCGTATCACAAAACAGACGGAAAACACAGCAACTCAACAAATAAATATGTTTGTACATATATAAATATGCAAGAGTGTGTATCAGAACATTATAAGCAAATATTATATATTAATATATTAATATATATTATATATTAATTTACCTTTTTTTAAAAATGTTAAAAACACCGAGGTTCGAGCGTGACACTCTGGACTTATGAATATATGTTTTCCGCCATGTGTATAAATAGCGGTGTCAGGCTACTGACTGCAGTGATTATTGAGTGACTATTGAGTTGAATTATCCAGTAGAATTAGTGTGAATTATTGTGCGTCGATGATTTGGGTTTTGATTTAGGATTTACCGGACGAGCAGAGCCACGCTACTAACAAGGTATTCACTGAAGTGGTTAATTATCTTTGATTGACTTTTACTTCTTTGTTCTTGTTAAGTATTTATTCGCGGTTGTAATTAAATACTGCTCTATCTTAACATTGAAGTCTTGAGTTATACTTAATCAATAACGGCCACCATACGTCACAAAAATAATAAAGCACATGCTTTTTTTAAATATCTTACTTTGGCAATTCTGTAGACTTTATAACATCGTTGTATTATTCACAAAGAGCAAAAAAAAAAAAAAAAAAAAAACAAAAAAAAACGCCATACCAGTGTTGAGGAGAAAAGGCAGTTCTGCAAAATAGAAGCTTCAATAGCAATTCATCTCCCATTTCACTTTTAATTTATTTTCCTCTGTAAACAATCCACATTCCCTCCGTATTCCATCGGTGAGAGGTTCCACTCGAACAGCTTCTTCTCTAGAACCACTGCCCTGTGAAACCGACTCCCAAGAGAATGTTTCCCTGATCACCTCAATTTTAACCTGTCCAAGTCTAAGGTTAACCGTTTTCTACTCCTATCCGTATAAACTACCTCTTAACGTAGCACTCTACCTCGAGTGGCTCTCGGGCCTTGTGCAGGTTTAATTGCAGTAACAGGATAAACATGTTCCGTGTTACCCCCAACAGTTATCTGCAAGTTGGTAGGAGAAGGGAGACGCCCTCCACTTTCTTCTTTAAAGAAAACCCACAAAGCATAATAAACGTATATTCTTGCAACTTTTCTGAAAAAATAAGATTCAAATACGGTATATCGATCAAAAGGAAGAAATGGATTAACATAGATATTAGGTTATTAGGGAAATAATGTCCGGTTTAGAACAAACCTTTTAATTGTGTCCTAATATATTATTATCATTATAGCTGCAAAAATCATATTACTCACTCCTAATTATTAATGTGTTCGCTTTGTTAATTTGATATTAATCTTTTTTTCCAGAATTTAACTAAAAACATTATATAACCCTCATCTTGAAGATGAAAAAATGATGTGATTACTTTTTTGCATGAGTTCAAGTTTGGTCCCAGTGTTTCTCAAACTGCTGCCGCCATTAACAGAGCAAGGTGTGAAATATCCATTTGTAATTGGTCAGTACGGCACTGGTTTTTGAAGTTCCGCGGTGGGGATATGAGTCTTGAAGATCAAGATGGTAGGAGACGTCCATCTGCAATTGATAATCAATACCTGAAAACACTAGTCAAACACAACCCAGGTCAGAGAAATGTCTCAGATAACTGGTGTCAGTATTTCGACAATATCGGACCATATCAAGGTGAAGAAATTCAATAAATGGGTTCCACGTGAACTGCATTCAAAGATGTCTTGGCTTCCACGAAGGCTTAATATGCTTGTGACTCGATGGCAGAAATTCATCGATTTTAAGGGTTCCTATTACGACTGATTTAAACACTGTTCAAAACATTGATTCAAAAATAAAAGTTTATTCTAAATTCGGATCTTATTTTTGATACATCCGATAGATAGATATATAGATATATAGATAGATAATGAACATAGATAAATAATGAAAAGAAATGACAGAAATTTGAGATAGATAGATAGATAGATAGATAGATAGATAGAAAGAGATAGACTCTAGTAGGTAGATTTATAGATTGAATAGATAGATAAGATTAATAGATAGATAGATAGATAGATAGATATTGAATGAAGAATGAGATAGATAGATAGATATAGATAGATAGATAGATAGATATATAGATAGATGAGTATGGCTCACATCCAGGTGGAAGCCAGACAGATAAACAGAAAAAATATCTATCTATTCATCTCAGTCCAATATATATGAACAGACAAAGAAAGAAAAATAAATTTTTTTAAACAAAATTCTGTTACCCTTTTCAGGAATTTAAGGAAATTCCTCAATTTGATTAAGGAATACCAAACAAGTGATAACTCATCTTAGGATATTGAACCGTAAATCTTATGACCCTTTGAACAACATAGATTTTCGAAAACAGGACTTGTTTTCTTCTATACCAACATATACATTTTTCTATTTTAATTCATTTTTTCTGAATTTCAAACATTCAAACACCTGCTTGATAATACACGTGTTTTGTTATGTCATGTTCAAAACAATAAGCCGATGTATCAGCCCACGTGGCTTCCACCTGGATGGGAGCCGTAAATATAGATGCAGTTGAAACTTGTGAAAATATA